TATTGAGACGGCCCTGTTTTCAAGCTCTGTAAAATATTACGAAACTTCCCCTCTGCAGGGAGAGAGCGTTCCACATTAGCCTCCAGAAATCTCCCCTAAATAGGGGTGGAAAACCCCACAGCTCTGGCTGCGCCAACTGTTGGAAGGACAAACACTTGGTTGATAAATGGAGGAATTTATTCCAGGAAAATATAGTCACTGTACTGATCAGTCACCTTGGTTTCTTTTTTACTGCAGATATACCATCTTCCTGGTTGTGGAGGGGAGCTCGTGCCAAGGGCAGTGCCCCACTTCTGCCAAATCTGCCTGGAACTTTTTGGCCTCCTTGATGGCCAAAGGAATTTTATCATCTCTGATCCCGTACCAAGTGGTAGCAGCCTGGCTTGAAGCTGTGGAAAACAGTATGTGTGAACACAATATGAGTTTCTCAGAGAGAGACAGAGACAGAGAGATGCACAGAGAGAGAGAGAGAGAGAGGGAGAGGGAGAGGGAAAGGGAGAGACAGAGACATACACAGAGACAGAGAAAGACAGACAGACAGACACAGACACAGAGAGACAGAGACAGACAGACAGAGAAAGAGAAAGGCAGAGAAACAGAGGCAGAGGGGCAGAGACAGAGAGACAGAGACACAGAGAAAGAGAGACAGACAGAGAGACAGACAGAGACACACAGAGACAGAGAAAGACAGATAGACAGACAGACACAGACAGACAGACAGACAGAGAGACAGACAGACAGAGAGAAACAGACAGACAGAAACAGAGAGACAGAGGCAGAGAGAGAGACAGAGAGAGAGAGACACAGAGACAGACAGAGACACAGAGACACAGAGACAGACAGAGACAGAGACAGAGAGAGACACACAGAGAGAAAGACAGAGAGACAGAGGCAGAGAGAGACACAGAGACAGACGTACTGACAGACAGAGACACAGACACAGAGACAGAGAGAGACAGAGAGAGAGACAGAGAGACAGAGAGACAGGGAGACACACAGAGAAAGACAGACAGAGGCAGAGAGGCAGAGGCAGAGAGAGAGACAGAGACAGAGACACAGAGACGAGACAGAGAGAGATAGAGTCATAGAGAAAGAGACAGAGAGAGATAGACAGACAGACGGGGATACAGAGACAGAGACAGAGAGACGGAGGGAGGGAGGGAGAAGATGTGACATGCTCCCCAGCACACACAGTACCTCCTGCACACTCCTCTCACACTCTTGTATACAAGTAGTCATTAACTTACGACCACAATTGAGCCCCAAATTTGTGTTGCTCAGCGAGAGACATCTGTTAAGTGTATTTTGGCCCATTTTACAACCCTTCTTGCCACAGTTGCTAAGTGAATCACTGCAGTCGTTAAGTTAGCGACACGGTGGTTAAGTGAATCTTGTTTCCCCATTGACTTTGTTTGTCAAATGGTCGCCCAAGGGGATCACGTGACCCCTGGACATTGCAACAGTCATAAATGTGAGTCAGTTGCCAAGCATCAAGGTTGAGTCAGCCTTCCATCCTTCTGAGGCCAGTGAAATGAGGACCCAGTAGGCTGACCCTCTAAAGCACTGTGAAGCGGTATATAAATCTAAGTGTTATTGTTAAGCACTATCTAAATATTGATCGCCTGACCATGGCGATGCTGTAATGGACTTGAACTCACGGTCTTGTGCCTTAACCACTAGACAAAACTATTGCCCACCACTTTGGCTGACCCTCTTTACGACTGCAATGTCT